AAAATTCCCCCCCCCCCCCCCCCCTCGCAAATAATATCGTTGTCTCAAAATATTGGTTCAGTTTAATATGAGTTTTTAATTAAATTCAACAAACTTTGGTCAATAATTTTTAAAAAAAACATATTATATATCAATACAATAAACAATTTTTTTATTTTTTTACAAGTATAATAAAACTAGATTTTACAGTAATAAGAACAAAGGGCATTAGCAACAGATGATACTTGTATTCAATCTACAACAATAATCAAGCAAAAAAACAAAACATTACCTGATTAAATGCCAGTACAAGATCTCGATTTGCTACACAAGCATTCAAAATCAATAAGGAATTTGAATATAAGCAGCGTCGCAGATATACGGAACATCGGCATACATACCACAAATTGCGCACTTGATGCACTCCAAAACGGTGAACAGATACGCGAACGCGATGGCTGTCCAGAAATGCATCCCAACCTTACCCCAGTACACGGCCGGGGGCATCCAACGGCTCACAGTTCCAATAACTTGTAGAGATATCTCCAACAGCATGCCCATAACCATATGATACCGGAAAAAGTGGGGCCACTCCTTTCTCCTAACAATCCCAAGGTAAGCAAGAAAGAAATATGCCATGAGAAACCAACTGGGTAACCTCCCTAAGGCTCGTAGAAAGGGGTAGGTCATGAATTCCAATTTTTCTAAGAAAGGGTGGAGATGGTATGCTGTCTCGGCATACATCCATGTCTCGTGGAGGGGCATGAGGTACGGGAGGCACGCTATGGTTCTCCACCAAAACCTTGGCTTCTTTGTCATTGCTGGGTATCGAAAACCTTGGGGGACATCCTTAGATGATGCCCTTGGGGAAAAAGAAACCCTTTTTTGTTTGGGGGACTTGGAAAGGGTTTCCGAGGAGAAACCCAGATATTCTCCACATAAAAGGGGTGTTGATGCAGAAGAAAGACTCGAGAACTTGGCTCCTGTTAAAGAATCACAGAAAAATTGCAAGAAATGTGAGAAAACATGAGCTGAGAACTCAATTGAGACATTAACACACTATGCACTGTATCAGGCTTAAGAGTAAGCATCTTAAAGAACAAAAACAAGAAGGTTTGAGTTCTTAATTGATTCAGGTCGATTTTTTCTTGTTATTCACAGATTCTATAAAAGTTCTATGAAACTAAGAGCTAAACAAGACTGCCACTTCTCCATCCCAATTTGTTGTCCTTGTCCTTTTTTGGTCCGTCCCAATCTGTTGTGCCCATTTCTATTTTTTTCCTGCATAAATCTCAACCATATCGTTTTCACTTTTTTAATCTCTAAGCTCAGTCAAATTGCATTCAACAATTTGGGCATATGGAGTATCACTAAACAAAGCTAAAACTTAAGCTTCAACTCGTTCAGTCAAATTGCATGTATTACTCCGAGTATTTTTTCAAAAATAAGTCAGACAAGTTGAACATGCTAAATTTTGTTAAAACAAACAGATAAATTCAAAAACAAATGTAAAAGTTGTACTTTGGCAAAACATGGCACCTTATAGGAACAGAGGTAGTACCAACTACTTATGCTACCATTAAAATAATCTAATTTTCTAATTCTATAGCAAAAGTTTTAGGAGACATTTGTTATGAAGGTAAGTAATTGGAAGGAAAGAGTACTATTATTTGGTATATAATGAATTTGAAATCAACAGGAATCATTTTTCTCTTGGAGAATGAAAGTAATTCTCAATGGGTGATAAATTTCAACTCAATAGTGGAAAAAGATACCATGAAATGTAATCCTCGTGAAAAAGCACCAAATTTCCCCTTACAATAAATGCAAACTTATCAACTAGAGTAGGCAAAACTTGTAGTTTAGATAAAGATACACACCTTTGAAGAAGCAAGATGTTAGACTGTGATGGGACCCCAGTGAGCTCTTAATGGATGAGAAGGTTGACATGGAATGCAGCTGGGAAAGCCGTGTAAATGTTGCAATGTAGCATTTTGAATTGGGTTCATAGGACGTATTAAAACCACAAGGAGTCAGAGAGCACCCAACGGAACTCATGTTCAAGCCCTTTGAATATTGGATGAAGATCTAGATTCTAGGCAGTTTGCGGGAAACCATACTGCTAGATGCATAGAGGAAAGTTGACAATTAGTCAGTTAAAATCCCAAATGACATGGGTTGTTCAGTAACTTTGTAAACAGAAGCATGTTACATGGATTGCCTCAAATTGGTCAGTGATGACTATGAATCTGCGCCTCCACAATCTAACTTCACATTCTATTTAAAAAAATGTTAGAGATTATTAAATAGAAACAAAACTTTTAACTAGCAACTTTTTCCAATTCATGCATTGTACCTAAGTTTTAGACAAATAAAGGGGATACACAGAAATAGTATTTATAAATGTTCACCATTGTATTGTTACGCTCTTGTCAGTTGTCACTCCATACTACTGCTCTTACTAAAACCAAAGAATACTAAAATGCGAGCTCCAATAGGTTTTCGGCGCATCTCGTTGAACCTTTGGAAGCAATCTATGCTTGTTGAACACTTCCATAAGTTTCGAGATCATGCATAACATATGAAAAATACAAAAAAATCAAGCTTTGTTCTTTGAAGATGGCAAAATAATTGAAATGATTAAAACATCCTAGCTGATATGGCATGCTATTGCATATCATTTCATGATTTTATCCACCAAGAAAAATGAGAAAAACAAAACCTAGTGCTCAATACATCAAACATGACAGAGCGATTGAATCGAATGTTCAAGATTAGCAGGATATAATCCTATAGAGGAACTGGATGATAAATAACTTATTCAAATCATATTCCGAATGCACATTTCTAGCTCTAGCAGTAAATCGAATCGACGAGCAGGATCTGAAACTAGCGGCAAACTAAATTAGGGTAAGGAATGCTCGATTCATATATAAGGGTATGTTTGGTCGGAGGTAGGTAAAATTTTTATTAGGTAGGTAAAGGTAGGTAATTGAAGGTAGGTAATTGTAGGTAGGTAATTGAAGGTAATGAGTTAAAAAATTGTGTTTGGATGTTTATTAGGTAACGTGAGGTAGGAAAAGATTAAAATTATTAAAATATCCTTGTGAAAGCAGAAAATTGAAAGCAAAATTGAAGGAAGCAAAAAAAAGTGAAGTAAAATTGAAAATCTGTGCAGAACCAAAATCTGTGAAGTAAGCAAAAAAAGTGAAAAAATTGAAGTGAAGTAAGCAAAATCCGTGTAGAAAGAAAATCCGTGAGCAAGGGCAGAAAGAAAAAAAGTTCCAGCCAAAGTGCCAAACAACAAAAACCCAGAATAAATTTCGACCCAGAAGAAAAAAAGGCTAGGTCTTTGAGCATTCATGGAGGAAACCCGGCAAAAAGCCCTTTTCATGGTTGCAATGTGGAAAAAAGGGATCGGGATTGCATGCAAAAACAGAGGGGAGAAATAAGAGGATTAAATACCTTCCGATCTGGAGCAGAGTCGCCCAGAAACCAGAATCAAACTACAGAACGACGCAAAGGCAGAACGAAAAAAAATTGAAAATTGAAGAGAAGAAATCGGAATACCTCGTCTTGTTGGAGATGGCAATCGGAAGACGAGGATGGAGATATGAAGATGGCGACTGGTTTTCTGGCAGTCACCTAAATTCTACCTCCCCCTACCTCCAAACAAACACAGTGTAAGAGAAGCACGGAGATGCCTAACCTGGGGAGAAGGAAGCTCGCCGGATCTGTTTGGAAGCACCGTCAGTCGCTGGTTTTCATATCCTTCTATTCTATGCTAGGGTTGCTTCATTTTTTATGCTAGGGTTGCTGCTTAATTTTTTGAACGGAAAATGATAGAGTCACAAACAAATAGTTCACAAACTTTACAAACTTACATTTTGTGGATTTTAAATTAAAATAGCTGTTTGTTTGTGAATCTAGCATTACTCTTTTTGAACCATATGGGAGATCATTTGTCTCTTTGGAGTACGCTATTTTATATACTCTAATTTTGCTCTAAAATGTTAGTGTACATTTTTGTAATCTTACTTATGGAGTACGGAGTATATTTTATGTAATAGTGAGTTGTTACAAAAAAGTAATGCTAGAGTCACAAACAAACAGTTCACAAAATTCACAAATTTGTCTTTTTAATATTTTCCTAGAAATAAGATGCATTCAAATAATAAAAGATATTTTAATTTAAAATCTATAAAAGACAAGTTTGTGAATTATTTATTTGTGACTCTAGCATTTTCCGTTGTGGTGTACAAAAATAGTGTACAAGTAACACTATTGTAAATTTTTAGCGTATTGTAAACATTAATCTTACTAATTTTACTATTGGATATTACTATTTTTAGTGTATTAATATTGTAAACATTAATCTTACTAATTTAGCGTATTCTTCTTCTGCCACGTCGCCACGTCGGTTAGTTAGTCGATTTAACATATCGAGGCTTGGGCTAACCCACGCACTCCTCGAAAGTATGATTCAATAGATTGTCTAGTTAATCTCAAGATTTTTATAATGAGACCCAAACTTGAACGTGCGTTTTCTGGATTGACTCCCGCCAATCTCAGATTTTTACCTATCATTCTCAACATGCATTGCTCCATATTTTGGATAAACAAAGAAAAGAAATTTTTTTTGTAACAAAGAGAGAATAAAAATAATGACAAATGCACAAATGGCCATATCTAATGTCTATATAGTCATTTTTTTAATGGATCATGTTAGAAATTCACCAATGACAATTACTGTTGATTTATATATAAATAAACGTCAGACAATAATCATTTATGTTCACAGAAGATTATTATTTTTTTTAAGTATAAATCATCTACTCCCTCCGTCCCACTCTTTTTGTCCACTTTCATTTTTGCACACCATCCAATGCATTTCTTTAATCCATTTTATCTACGGCTTCCTAACAATTTGTTCTTTAATGGTACTAGTGCACAAATAACAATATTCAATCCTATGATTCCTATCCATCAGCATGCAATTAAATAAGCAAGCACAAATGACCATAGCTAATTAAGATTATCAGCGCCATTATTCTTATGGGAAATAATCTGGTTTCATCTCCGGATCCGCCGGCGGCCGGCAGCTGTCCTGCATCATCAACGCCACCTTCTTCATGGCAGCTGATGAGATTATTCATCGCCGGATCATACTCGTCCTCCGACGACGACGCAAAACCGACAACGTATACAAAAATACTCTTGGCGTCATCCATCGGATTGTTCATTGCGGCCGCCGCCGTGCATTATCGCCTCCATATCATCTGCCGCCGCCCCGACCGGAAAATCGTGCCGAGGTTAAAGCTTCTGCCGGAATCCGGCCAGACCCTCAAGCCTGAAGGGTTTCCTCAATATGTAGGTAATATTCCCTGCACAAACTCCTAATTTTTGAAACATTTCGCGACCATTTCCAGTATTCCGAAAAGTTTCTGATCCAAATTTCAAAGTGTTGAGAATAATATGTATTCCTATCCTCAAATTCAAACAATCAAACTCTGGTACACTCACTTACACATTCAATAACACAAAGGTACAACTTCAAAAATAATTTCATGCTCCATATCATATCAAAAATGCTAAAGTCACTAATAAAATATTACAAAATTCATAAAGTTACTATTTGTAAATATAATTTTTTTGTTACTCGTAATTATTTAAGACTATTTTATTCTTTTGGTGGTGTTTAGAAATGATAAGTTTGTGAATTTTTCGTCTTCCTTGTTTGTGATTCTTGCATTTCTGGTATTATATGGTGAAATACAACTGTAGCATTCCTTTTTCGTGGCTCTAGCATTTCTGGTATTATATGTGAGTTTACAAAAATGGCTTTATAATGGAATCACTTTTCATCAACCCACTCACAATCACTCCTAAAGAACCTTCGGTTAGGTTGTTTCACGAAATATTTGCACCTCTATTTATACTAATAATAGAGACTAAACTTCTCTAGACTTTTTCATCAATCTCTAAAATTTTACTAGGAAATCTTCACAAGGTTCCATAGTGTTCTAGAAGAATCTAGAAAATCTCACATATATATCTCTAGAAGATTTCACATCTTTTCATACAATTTTAGAGACTGACACTTCTTTAGAAAGCTGAATATTCAGGATAGTTATTCACTCTTCTACAAAGTTTTAGGGAGTTTCATGGCTCTAGATAACTTTGCAATATTTTGAAAACTCTACACATCTACACCAACTTTTAGAATTCTCTGAAATTTGTCATCTCATTCATTTGAAAATATTTACGGAGTATTTTTTATTCTTAAAAGTTGGTTCAGAAAAACACAAATAATGTTGTTGTTTTGACATGATGCTGCAGCTAGGCAGATGGGATTTAGTGACAAGAGAGAGTGCCCAACTCTGTGCAAATTAGCCTCAGAGTATATAATAAAGGCAGATGGCTGTGAGGAGGAAATATACAATTTCTTTGCCAATGAACCAGCTGCTGATTCCCTGTTCATTAAGCTTGTGGAGGAGTTTGAGAGGTTGATTCTCAGCTATTTTGCTTTCCATTGGAGCCAGGCTTCCAATATGATTAGCCAGGTCTACTACACATTCTTGTTTTGCTTTCTCTTGCTATTTAGGAGGATGAAAAAGAAAAGAGCGAAAATTATTGTGAGATATAGTCAACTGAAAATCTACCTCTTTACAAGAAGAGGGCATTGGGTCAATTATCTATTGATGTATATTGGATAACATGGTCTATCAATTCTTTAAATCCTATTTAATTTACAGGCATTGGTAAGTGCTGACAAATCTTCTGGGCCGAAAAAAAAGCTGAAAAATTTTGTAATGGAAGCAACAAGGTACGTGACAAAAAATCAATCAAACTTGGTGCCACTTCCTTTGAAACCAAAGAAGAACTTCACGGAAAAATGTTATCCTTGAACCTCTTTTTTCGGCGTCAAAAGTGGCTTGCCCCAACAATTGTAGAACAAAAATTTGTTGTCATTGGAAATGTTTTGGTTTCAATTCTTGCAATTTTCTTTTAGTGAAATTACTTTTTAAAAAAATGAAATGAAGTGTACAAATTATTAATACAGGGAACAGAGATTTGAGAGAGTGACAAAGAACTTGAAGGTGGCAAGAGTGTTCAACACCTTAGTGGAGGAGATGAAAGCCATAGGGCTAGTGGCAGCAGATGATTCCAGGTGTACGGATGTGATGGTCCCTATGGCCCACAAGGACAGAAGCCCTGTCCTCCTCTTCATGGGTGGTGGCATGGGTGCCGGCAAAAGCACTGTTCTCAAGGACATCCTCAAAGAGTGAGTAACTAACTTAGGTTAGAGTATCCCATACATATGGATATTGTGTTAACAAAACTTTGCGTTGATATAGATAATTTATTGGATTCAATCTCATAATATAAGAGTATTAGAATCACTAGAATAATTGAAAAGTCTAAACCAAATGCAGCTTTCATCCAATCATGTCTATACTCTATAGGAGACAGTATCTTACTTTCAAAAGATAAGAAAGTAAAGTTATTAACTACTAAGAGTAATTATAGTGTTACTAATAGTAATTGGCTATTTATAGGCCATTCTGGGTTGAAGCAAAGGGAAATGCAGTTGTGATAGAGGCAGATGCCTTTAAAGAATCAGATGTCATCTATAAAGCCCTCAGTTCTAGGGGACATCACCATGACATGCTTCAAACTGCTGAATTGGTACTCCATAATTGCCCTCTTCTTTTTTTTAGTGTCCCAAAGTTTCATTTTCATCTCATTTTAGGGGGGGAAATTGGGAAAGATTTTGTGATTCACAATGCTCAATTGTGTTGATGGTTTGTTTTTATGTTTTAGTTACTTGGCCCTTTTGTACTTTCTGTGCTTTTTGTTTACGTATTAATGTTGGTTTGTATGTTTCTTTTGTCTTTATATGTTCATACATCATCGTGCTGCTGTGGGTTCTTTGTCTGTATTTCTGTTTTTGATCCAATTATCTCTTGAAATCAACCTTTCTACTACCTAGTAGGGATAAGGTGTGCGGACACACACCCTGCCCTTACCCTACTTTTTGTGGGATTCTACTGCATTTGTTATTATTATTGTTGTTGTTGTATATTGCTCAAATTTGCGAATATGTTTCCTAGGTGCATCAATCGTCCACGGATGCGGCTTCATCTTTGCTAGTAACAGCGCTCAATGAGGGGCGGGATGTAATCATGGATGGGACCCTCTCATGGTTGCCATTTGTGGTGCAGACGATCACGATGGCTCGGAATATTCACCGGCGACGGTACCGGATGGGGCACGGTTACAGGGTCGAGGAAGATGGGAGCGTGAGCGAGAACTACTGGGAGATTGCTGAGGAACAAGATCTAGTGGATGGGAATAGAAAACGAAGAGCTTATAGGATTGAGCTTGTTGGGGTTGTTTGTGATGCTTATTTGGCTGTCATTCGAGGCATAAGGTACTTACAAACATACTACGTAGTTTTTTTGAACTATGCTACAGTTACAACACGGACGACACCAAAACTGACACCGTTAGTGTTTTATAGAAAATAATTTCTCAGAGACAATGATTATTTGTGCTTGATTGTCTCTGGTGGTATCAACTTTGGTATCATCTCTTGGGTTGAAGTTACATTTTCCTATATTTTTTACTTGATGCTAGAATAGTACTCCGTAGAATGCAACACCAAAAAATTAAAGAAAGGATAATTGGTGATTCCTAATCATTCCCAAATATTATGATTGTATTAGTGGTATTGATTGCCTGATTAACTCTCTAATCATATTATTTTAGTTTCTTGATTAATTACATATATTTGAAAAATGGGTTGGACAGGAGAGCTATAATGAGCAGAAGAGCAGTGAGGGTGAAATCACAGCTAAAATCCCACAAGAGATTTGCAAATGCATTCACAACATATTGCAACCTTGTTGATGTTGCAAGACTCTACAGCACAAATGACATTGAAGGCCCTGCTAAGGTATATATACTCACCTTCCCTCCCCCTTTCAACCGACCATTATCGCTCTTGTAATACATCAAAAAAAAAAAAGAATGGAGTCATAACCCATTGTTAGCATATGATAGTCGATTGATGATAGTGACATTATTAATGGATACTTAATGAGTAAAATAAACTAATTGTGGACAATGAGTAGTACTCGTAACAAGTAACATAAACTAATTGTGGACAATGAGTAGTACTCTTAACAACTAATAGTTGAATCCCACAAGAGTAGGGTGTGGGGAGGGTGTGTTTATGCATACCTTACCCCTACTCGAAAGTAGAGAGGCTGTTTCCATAGAGACCCCGGCTTAGCGTAGAAAGTTTCATTGATTGACTAACAACTAGTTCATTAATGAAAGAAGCACACACAGTTTAAAGATCCATTTTGCTTTATTCCATCACACTCCAAAGCAAAAAAACAGTGAATTTTTGGCTCCATCGGAGAGGATGGAACTATGGACTGAAAAGAAAAAGTGAGAAAATATTTTATGAGACGGAGGGAGTATACTTACATTTAGACTGCATCCCGTTGAGTTGAGAGACCCACGTGATATGGGCTTGTTCAACCCGACCCAAAAGTGAGATCCAAACTCGGTAGAGTAAGGCAAGGTAGGCATTGCTAGGGTTCGGGGGCAACTGGACGATCTCTCAAATTAGTGTTCATGATCCACATGTCTCTCTTTGTAAAGTGGATCGTGATTGCTTCTTGAACTCCGAAGAGATCGAACTCTGAATATATAAAAAGCTTTCACATTGCTTCATATCTCGTAGTTACGACGATCTATTCTCAGTATAATTCCCAAATATTCTGCTGGATTTAAAAACATATGATTAAATATTTAAATGTGAATGCAGCTAATAGGGTGGAAGGACAAAGACAAGACATTGCTAGTGGATCCAGAGGAGATAAAGGTGTTGAAAGTAGTGGGGAGGTTAAATGAGGAAGCAGATTCCATATATGAGCTTTACAAACATCCTAATCCAGCTTATGAACCAGGCTCTGTTTGGAAGGACATTGTCTTGTCCCCTTCCAGGTCCAACATTCAAAAGGAACTCAGATTCTCCATTCACAAAATTGAGACTTCTTCTTCTCCACCTCACCATTAGTTAGGATATACATGCCCTATTCTTTTTCTTTTTTGTTCCTTTTTAAATATTCATCATGTTCATAATTTATAGTGCAGTAGATGCTTTAAAATGATCAAATAATGCCTAGTTATAGGTGGTAGGTGGGACAAAAACATTGTCTTTGGAACTTAAAAAAGGGAAACTATACAAAGGACTGAAAGGAGTGAGGTGTTTGCTAGTTAATGTTAGTAATGGTGTTTAGTTCTAGAGGATGATGAATAGTGTTATAAGAACATCTAATCACATGTATTTGTGTGTAAATAAATAGAAAAATGTTAGGGTGCCACCACATGGACACAAACAGATGATGTACAATTCCAAAATTGAATATATGCACTACTATTGGAGGCGGGATTTCTTGAGTTGGTTTGGTTTGGTGAGCACTCTTCATATTATCATATTACTATTCTTATTAGAGGCATCGGAGCACCCCGGGTCATCCCATGACATTAGTTTCCAATGTCATGAGAACCAAGGGATTCCTATTATTATTATTATTATTATTATTATTATTATTATTATTATTATTATTATTATTATTATTATATTTATAATATGTCATGGAGTATTTTTTTAATTTAAAAGAGTGATGTTTTTGCATGTTAATTTAGATTAATAAAATACTTATAATTTTTGGGACATAGTTTAGTAATTATTTTTTCTTTCCTTTTCATTACCTTTTGTATCCTTTTTTTCTTTTACTTCGTACATATATTATATTTCATTTTCTTTTTTTTTTTTAGTTTTTTGTAACGTACTCCATAAAGTTTTTTTTTTGTTTTTAAAAATAAATAAATGAAAAAGAGAGACATAAATAAATGAAATAGAGAAAAAGAAGATCATAAATGTCATTTTAAATTTGAAAATAAATTAAGAGAGACATCATTTATAAATCATATACTCTCTCCGTCCCTATTTTGATTACAAAATGTGAATTACGATGTAAAATCTCACGATTTTTAAAATCATTTTATTTACAAATTGGTACATCAATAAGAAATAAAAATTACATATTTAAAAACAACGTCCAAAGTTTTACAAAAAAAGATAACAAAAATATTTTATTTTATCAAATAATCAATGAAAACATTCAAATAAACAAAATTTATCGAGAAAAGAGAAAAAATAAAATTGCAATCAAAATACAAAGGAAAAGAGTATATTTTCAAAAAAATTCTACAAACAAAATGAGTTTTTCAAATAATTTAAAATTACCCACGCGTGCTAAGAAAAGATAAAACCCCAGCATGCAATCAGTACTCGGCACTTGTATAATACCAACCATAAACCCCAAAAATAGAAAGAAAGGAGGGAGAGTAAGCTCAAAGAATCTCAAAGAACAAGAATTCATTCATACTTACATAATCCAAAGCAAACATGTTCTAATTTTCTTCAGGGCTTTGGAAGTTCCACTCTTTCTCTGCTCCCAGATCCATGCTCGATTCTTGATTGGGTTCTTCTTGGACTCTTGGCAAGCCCTTTGTACCATTTCTGTTTGTTTTTGTACTTTCTGTTATGAATTTCTGTGTAAATATGTATAAAAGCTTTTTTGTGTGTGTTTATGTTTGCTTATCTGCGTGCATTGCGTCTGGGCTTCTGGGTTTGAAGTTCATCACAGAGGTGTGAAAAAGGTGGAATCTTTTTTCTCTGTTTCCTTCAAAGATCTAGTTCAGTGGAGGAGTTATGTTATGTTGTTTTTATTTTTACTTTGTTTCTTTTTTTTTTTCGATCTCAAGGACTTGGTTTTTGGTTTTTCTTCAATTTTTCTTCTTCTGATTCTTTATAGTGATTGTAAATGGTATTTTGAGATCATTGGTTATGATTTATCGCTGCATTCCTCTTCTCAGTGCTTCTGTTGATTTATAAACACTCGGCCTTTGCAAATTTAAAAGAAATTTGTCAAGGAACCTACTCAACCAAAAGCTCAAGCTTGTGGTTGTGGCCCAGGAACAGTTATTTATATTCTAACACGCCCCCTCACGTGCAGGCGTAGTCTTTTTCGAGCCTTGCACGTGAAACCTTAATATTTTTTAAACTGGGTGGCGCTGAGTTTCGAACACATGACCTCTTAGTCAACGAGGCTCTGATACCATGTCAAGGAACCAACTCAACCAAAAGCTCAAGCTTGTGGTTGTGGCCCAGGAACAGTTATTTATATTCTAACAAAATTGGTTAAAAAAAGATACTATTATAGGATTAGAATATAATGCCATAACATTTCAATGTGTTAGCATTTCAAGAAATGGGCAGCATACCTATTAGGTCTTACAAGTATGAGACCGACTTGTCCATATCAGTTTTAGTGCCATATATTATCACTCTTTCTGTAAATCCTATCACTTTTGGGTAAATTGTGTCTTTTATGTTTAGTTTTACCACACAAACTATCACGTAGTATTTCTTGAAACTTACTCAATAGTTTACAATGTGATAAGGGGCGTTTTCTGATTTCTTTTCCTAGTCAGGGTTGCAGTCTAGTGGTTGCGACTTGCAAAGTTTGATGGATACGGACAACGGCACATGTCTGTCTCTGAATGTTGAGGCATGTGAAAATGGACTTCTGCAACAACTTCAACCTGCCGAGGAAGAACTTGTTGCTCATAAGTCCGAAGGGGTGCCGAATGGCAGTCTTACAATTGAAGAAGTGCAACAGAACTTTCAAATTTCGGTCATCTTGAAGGAAGATGAAGCTGTTGAAACATCTGTTGAAGAGGTTGGGGACAAACCAATTGTGCCTCCTTATGGCAATGGCAGTGCTAGTTCTAAGGTAGGATGTTGTCTGGTTCAATCACTAATCTTGTTGTTTTATTAAGAATCGTAACATGTCATAGTCGTTTAGTTATGGTACAACAATGAGAAGTGGAGTAAAATCCCACAAAAATAGGGTCTGGGGCCTTACCCCTACTTAGAAGTAGAGAGGTTGTTTCTAAGGGACCCTCCGCTCAGAACACGGAGGCGCAGACAAAGTAAATACGATAAGCACCATAGCACGAACAAAGTAAGAGCACAACACATAGCATACATAGGAAGGAAAGAAAATGTGGGGTGTGGTGGGTGAGGGGGGGGGGATATATAAAGACTTAAGAATTCTTAACATCTTTTTTAAAAAATAAGAACATTTATCATATTTGATATTCGTTTGCATTTTCCCAGGCCAAACAAAACTCAACAAAATGACTATTGCAGCATTTTTTCCTTTCGCTAACATGTTCCATGATCTAAACATACCCTATAGGAATCCAAAGTTAAGAATTCTGCAGAAAACCAGAGTGACAAACCACAGAAAGCTTCCGGAAAGCTCCAAAATGGGAAATCTTCAAGCACTGCAAATTCAGTGGTTTCTGGGGCAAAGGACACAGACGGCAACCCAAAAGGACCCATGCCCTCCAAATCACTGGCTAAACCACATACTGCCCTTGGTGCAAGGGGTAAATCATTTGATGAGAGGAAAGTTACTTTGAGAAATCCAAAGTTTGTTCCTTCTTCTCTAAAGTCTAATAATCATTCTAAGGTATATCCAATCTCATTTATTGTTCAAAGTTTTCTTTTTTCCCCTTTTTACTTCATTTTTTCTCCCCAATGTTGAGTAGACACAATGTACTTCAATTAATCATATAAATATATAACCATCTGCTGGCTAATTTGTATAAATCTCTTGATCTTTAGCAGCAAACTGATAACACATCTTCCCCGAGTGGTCCACAGCCCGAAAGCCTAAAGTATGTTCTATTTGCTCTAGTTCTATCTTGGATTTATCTCTACTTATTTTGACTTAGATCTTGTTTGGGATCACTTATGGTATAAGGGTCTGTTTGGGAAGGGGGAAATGATTTCGGGAAGTCATTTTCCCATTTTCTAGTGTTCGGTTGTTCCAGAAAGTAGTCGTCGAAAAATGACTTTCAAAATCAACAGAAAATGAGCCTTATTTGGAGGGAAATGATTTCTGTTTTTTCGAAGACATTTTCCATCCTTCTCCTACTTCTTAGATCCAAACTCACCACATTTTATTATGTAATAACAACAAAAACTGGTTTATTCATTTTTTAAACTTTCAACCGAACACCAAAAAATAAATTTATTTTGCATAAGCCATTTTCCATATTTCCAAGACCCTAAATGATTTGATCATAAGTGTATTCAAATTTAAGCACTTAAAAGTGCTTTTTTCCAACAATCTGCTGCTTTCTTGAATCATCATTATTCATTAAAGTTGATTTTTTTCAATATAATCTGCCACCGCCCCGACTGGAAAATTGTGCCCAGGTTAAAACTTCTGCCGGAATTAGGCCAGACCTTCAAGCTTGAAGGGTTTCCTCAATATGTAGGTAAAATTCCCTGCACAAACTCCTAAGTTTAGAATGCTCTTAAGTTTACCATTTCAGTCCTTTGAAATATTGAACTTTTATCCCAATAAAATGGTTTAGAAAAACACAAATAATGTTGGGTTAAAATGTTGTTTTGACATGATGCTGCAGCCAGGCAGATGGGATTTAGTGACATGAGAGAGTGCCCAACTCTGTGCAAATTAGCCTCAGATTACATAATAAAGGCAGATGGTTGTGAAGAGGAAATATACAATTTCTTTGCCAATGAACCAGCTGCCGATTCCCTGTTCGTAAAGCTGGTGGAGGAGTTTGAGATGTTGATTCTCAGCTATTTCGCTTTCCATTGGAGTCAGGCTTCCAATATGATTAGCCAGGTCTACTACCCAGTTTCCTTTTTTGTTTGTCTGTAATAAATTTCATATTTTTCTCCAATTTAAGAATGAGAATATGTGAGTCCCAATCTTTTTCTCTACTCTAATTGAATCATAATCACACATTTTTCCCAATATTTTCTTAAATTATGTGTACTCTAAGGCAATTCTTTAAATCCTATATAATTTACAGGCACTGGTAAGTGCTGACAAATCTTCTGGGCCGAAAAAAAAGCTGAAAAATTTTGTAATGGAAGCAACAAGGTACGTTAAAACAAATCAATTAAACTTGGTGCCACCACATTTGACACCAAAGAACTTCATGGGAAAAAGCTACCCTTGAACTTCTTTTTTGGTGTCAAAAGTGGTTTGAACCAACAACTGTAGAACAAAAATTTGTTGTCACCGGAAGCGTTTTGGTTTCATTTCTTGCAGTTCTGTTTGAGTGAAACAATTTTAAAAAATTAAAGATAAATGTACCAACAGGGAACAGAGGTTTGAGAGAGTGACAAAGAACTTGAAGGTGGTGAGAGTGTTCAACACCTTAGTGGAGGAGATGAAAGCCATAGGACAGGTTGCAGCAGATGATTCCGGGCGTGCGGACGTGATTGTCCCTACGGCTCACAATGACAGAAGCCCTGTCCTCCTCTTCATGGGTGGTGGTATGGGCGCCGGAAAAAGCACTGTTCTCAAGGATATCCTCAAAGAGTAAGTAACTAACATAGGTCAGAGTATCCCATACATATGGACTATGTGTTAATAAAACTTTGAGTTGAATTAGATAATGGATTGGATATTTGGATTAAATCTTCTAATATAAGAGTATCACTGTATCAGAATCACTAACCAAAATGCAGCTTTTATGGTGTTACTAATAGTAACTGGCTATTTGGTTTTGGTTATAATAGGCCATTCTGGGTTGAAGCAAAGGGAAATGCAGTTGTGATAGAGGCAGATGCCTTTAAAGAATCGGATGTCATCTATAAAGCCCTCAGTTCTAGGGGACATCACCATGACATGCTTCAAACTGCTGAATTGGTACTCCATAATTGCCTTCTTCTTTTTTTAGTGTCCCAAAGTTTCATTTTCATCTCATTTTAGGGGGAAAAATTGGGAAAGATTTTGTGATTCACATTGCTCGTTGATGATTTGTTATAATGTTTTAGTTACTTGAGGCTTTTGTACTTTTGGTGCTTTTTGTGTATGTATTAGAGTCATAGTTGTCACGGCACCAAAGCGAGGCGTTGCGCTAGTGTACCGCCATGAAGCCTAGACGACTAGGTGACCGTCTAGGTGATAATTACGCGACCCAGGCGGCAACACATAAGAAATCATGATTGGTATACATTAGTATGACTAAGTCACACTAGTATAAATATGAACATACATGTTCTCTAATTCTAATCGAAATTTCAAATATATGTACCTAAAAAGAATAAACACTCCATAATATGAAAAGATAAAAAAGAATATGAAATACGAAATATGATTAAAAGCAATACCCGACTTCTTAGTGCAAAGTATATCCTGAGTATGAAAAGCGTCACTGACTAAAAGGCGTAAAAGATTTTCAAAAGGCACTGCCTAGATGCCTAGGCGAGGCAAGGCAAGGCCAAGGCGATGCCTAGGCGAGGGGTTCAAAAAAAGGCGAGGCAATACACTAGGCGAGAGGAGCGTAGCGCCAGGACGCCTAGGTGACACTGTGACAACGATGTTTATTGTTGGTTTGTATGTTTCTTTTATCTGTGTTCTTACTTCATTATTCGTGGTTTCTGTGTCTGTTTTCATGTTTTGATTTAAATATACTTTTAGTTTCTGTAAAATAGATGGTTTTTGTTTTTTGGTCCCGATAAATTATTTTTTACTTCATTCATCCTACAATTTTTTTTTATTTTGCTAATGGTCCTCAAACATAACTAGAACTTCTAATTAGTTGAAATGGCATTTCACATTAAACATCCCAGTCCTGCATCGCTGATTAGCTTAAATACGCTAACCGTTCCCTGAATTATGTCCACATGGGTGGGGATAGATCGTGAAAGAAATTCAAAAATGGGGAAATTAATTTGAAGAATTACCCAATTTAGGACATATTTTACACTTGAGGTAATTAGAGATGCAAACTAAGATGCTGATTAGAAAATTGTGTGGTGTGTCATCTCAACTAATTAGGAGTTCTATTACGTTTGAGGACCATTTGCAAAATAATTTTTTTTCAAGGATGAATTAGGTAAAAGATATTTTATAGTGACCAAAAGCAAAACTCGCCTATTTTACAGGGACTAAAAACGTATTTAACCCTTCTGTTTTTGAGCCAATTGTCTCTTGAAAACAGTCTCTCTACTATCTAGTAGGAACATGGTTTGCGTACACACACACACCCTACCATTACCATACTTTTTGTGGGATTCTACTGCATTTGTTGTTGTTGTTTTTGTTGTATATTGCTCAAATTTGCGAATATGTTTCCTAGGTGCATCAATCGTCCACGGATGCGGCTTCGTCTTTGCTAGTAACGGCGCTCAATGAGGGGCGCGACGTGATCATGGACGGGACCCTCTCGTGGTTGCCATTTGTGGTGCAGACGATCACAATGGCTCGGAATATTCACCGGAAAAGGTACCGGATGGGGCCCGGTTACAGGGTCGAGGAAGACGGGAGCGTGAGCGAGAACTACTGGGAGATTGCTGAAGAACAAGATCTAATGGATGGGGATAGAAAACGAAGAGCTTATAGGATTGAGCTTGTTGGGGTTGTTTGTGATGCTTATTTGGCTGTCATTCGAGGCATAAGGTACAACACGGACGACACCAAAGTTGGGGTTGAACTATGCTACAGTTACAACACGGACGACACCAAAGCTGACACCGTTAATTTCTCAGAGACAATGATTGTTTGTGCTTGATTGTCTCTGATGGTATCAACTTTGGTATTGTCTCTGGGGTTAAAAGTTACATTTTCCCATATTTTTTACGCAACACTAGAATAGTCGAATGCAATGCCAAAAAATTAAAGAAAGGATAATGGGTGGTTCCTAATCATTCCCAAATCTTATGATTGTATTAGTGAGATTGGTTGCCTGATTAACTCTCTAATCATGTTATTTTAGTTTCTTGATTAATTACATATATTTGAGAAATGGGTTGGACAGGAGAGCTATAATGAGCAGAAGAGCAGTGAGGGTGAAATCACAGCTAAAATCCCACAAGAGATTTGCAAATGCATTCACAACATATTGCAACCTTGTTGATGTTGCAAGACTCTACAGCACAAATGACATTGAAGGCCCTCCTAAGGTATATATACATACTCACCTTCCCTCCCCCTTTCAACCGACTATTATCGCTCTCGTAACATACTCATACTCCGTATCAAAAGTTGAGTGTACATGGACATACATCACGTCTACATTCGTTAAATTTTTAATGGACATACATCACGCCTACTTTTGACTGACTATTATCAAATGTTGAATGAACATGGACATACATCATGTCTACATTCATTACTTTTTGAGTGCATCAAAAAGGTCATTTTGGTCACTATGAATCGTGATTGCCACACAAACCTATAAATACTCCTTCCCTGGAATGGGATCGAACTTGGGATATACAAAGAGTTTCATATATTTTCATCGATCTTATTTACGATCTATTCTCGGTATAATGCCTCTATATTGATGATTAAATGTGGATGGGTGCAGCTAATAGGGTGGAAGGACAAAGACAAGACATTACAAGTGGATCCAGAGGAGATAAAGGTGTTGAATGTATTGGGGAGGTTAAATGAAGAAGCAGATTCCATATATGAGCTTTACAATCACCCTAATCCAGCTTATGAACCAGGCTCTGTTTGGAAGGACATTGTCTTGTCCCCTTCCAGGTTCAACATTCAAAAGGAACTGAAATTAGCCATTCACAAAATTGAGACTTCTTCTTCTTCTTCTCCTCCACCTCACCATTAATTATTACTAGGAAAACAAGATATTGTTATTATTTGTTTTCCTTATTCTGGTGTTGCCATTGTTGTTATCCTATTGTGTGACTAAGATTCTCTTTGTATTCCCTGGGATAAAACCTTCATTATTCAGTAAGACCAATTATTATCAGATTGTATTATGGTATCGAAGCGAAGGTCTCCCTACTATGAAATCTATTTTTTTGCTAACCGGGTGCCCTTATCGCTGGTCGACCGCCGCTAATGGCTAATTAGTTGGACCTGCTTGAGTAAAATTTATATTCCAGAATCTTCATAATCTTTATCTTTGGAAAATTCACGCATCAGCTGTCATGGCTTCCGGGTACTGATTTGATGATTCTTATGTTGAGAACTCTCCTACCTGTGGCCATCCACAAGCAATAAATCTGGAGATTAATATCTGGACACTGGTGCCAACACTCACATCACACATGACTCTTCACAGCTACATACACTCTCTTCATCCTCCACTTATATGTGTTTTTCTTAGTTATCATCCCATCCCACCAAGACTATAAGTGTTATGATTCGGTCTCTGAAAAACACGTCTCCCGTCATGTTTTTTCGTAGAGGACCAGTTTCCACACACTTGTACCGATACTATTATTGTAGGTAACTAAACCTTACCTATCACACATTTGCTGCGGCTTTTTTCACACACCTAATGGTAAATACCATCTTCCTTCTCTTCACTATATCCTCTTCCTTACATCTAATTTATTATATGTTTACCAATTTATCATATATAATAATTGGGATATGCTAAGGGTACACCAAATGTGTACCCCAAATGTACACCACTCCCCTTTCTACCATTCATTTTATTTTGTTTTTATTTTTTATTTTTTTTTAATTTTTCTTGCCTTTTTTTGTGGTGATGGAGGGGGTGGGGGATGTTTGGGGTACACTTTTGGTGTACCCCTAGCATTTTCCATAACAATTGCACCCTTTATATCAATGATCCTTAAAACTTGTTTCTATCTTTAGATTCAGTTCTTTTGGGTTGAAAATTAATTTTCAACGTTTTCCAACTACTTCTAGTTCTTTCCAACTCGTTCGAATTTCTTCCAACAATAATTTTAAAAAGCTATTTATATATATGTTGAATATATAATAATTTTATAGATCCAAATTTATAAGATACCACCTCAAACACGGAGAAGGATAAATTCTTTTTTTTATCTAAAAATATAATTTTCTTACATATTTATTTGGATGATCATTAAATTGAGCGGCTTTTTAACACTTTAATTATTTTAACATTGTTCAAATCCATCTAGTTACTTCCAACTCCTTCCAATTTTTTGAAACATCCAATTCTGAAATTTCAACCCAAAAGAATAAGGTCTGGACTGTATATATCATCATTGCAGTAGTGTATCGTGCCATTGCTATATCGGACCAGACAACAACAGCGTATTGCAAAGGGCAGTTACAAAGATCTTTCTCAATAATAAAGTTGTCCGTTATGGGGCGTTTCCCGAAGGCGTTACCAGCCCCTCATGCCTCCTTCCCATTTCATAGTTGGCATGAAGGGAGCATTGCCCATTTGGCAATGATAGCCATCCAGCCGTGATGGCTCACCCTTTTTTTTCAACCAATCAAAATCTAATAAATATCTATCCCAATCAAAAAAAATAATTGGCATCTTCACTTTATCACTTTGGTCACTCCATCGCACCCATCACACCTCTTCAAACTCGCCATAACACATGGTCTAATTTAAGTATACCCCTTGGTTCTCATAACATTGGGAACCAATGTCATGAGATGACCCGAGGGTGCTTCGGTGCCCCGTTCGTAAAATTGACGGTTCCTACCCCTTAACCTCCCCGGTAAAACCCCCCACCTTGCTCTGACCAGAACACGCCCTCCCACCCCCCTTCAATTGTACCCCCAATTTAATTTTGATTTTGGAGTCAAAATTTGACTCCAAAGTCAAAATTAACCTGGGGGTGCAATTGAAGGAGGTGTGAGGGCGTGTTTGGGTCGGGGGCGGAGTGCCAGGATTAGGGGGGTAAGAATCGTCAATTTTACGAATGGGACATCGAAGCATCCTCAGGTTATCTCATGACATTGGTTCCCGATGTTATGGGAACCGGCCTCATGCTGAAATTGTTACTAAGAGCATCTCCAACCATGTTTACTATATTGATTTGCTAATTTTATATTTTAGCAAGTGAATAGTGATATAACAAACAATTTTTTGTTTCAATTTCCAACCATAAGTTGCTAATCCATTTTACAACTCTTAGCTTGCTATATTTTGGAAAACTTGTTATATTTAGCAAGCCAACTGATGGTGTAAATTACCACGCAAATACTAAGTAAAAGTAATCGGAAGGGCTGTAAATGGAAACACCTGTAACCCGGCTTGTTATTAATTAAAACGGGAACTTATTACAATCAGTACAGACCGTGTGGATTAATTAAAGCATACCTCACAAATGAGGGTTTTAGGGGTATTTATAACAAAACTAAGCACGTCAAGCGCGTCTCTAGTTATCCAACCGGTCATTCGTCTGACCGGCTGCATAAGGGTACTACCCAACCGGCTTCACGACCCGGTCTGAGAAGGATGCGCTCTGTCACTTCCGTCACCACCCAGTCGGATGAACCAACCGGGTGGTATCCATGGGTTATTACCCATCAAGGAGTCCTCCGATTCCCGGTCCTGTGGGGACCATCAGGGGCGGGAAGCACATGCGATTAATCCTTGAAATTTGAACTGCCCAGTCGCTTTTTTGGCGGGAAAATCGTCTCGGAAAACCAGCGCCAACCCAAAATATTTGAAATTTGAATTTTCGAAATTTAAATTTCGAAAACCGGGTGTCCAAGGCGGGAGAATCTTCTCGAAGTCGGGTACGGAGCCGCCGATTCATTGTGCCGTTTCGTCTTCCCGAGAGGTTATGATGAGAAATCATTTCGCTCGCCACGTGTCATTCTGCCATTCGTCCGTCAGGGCGGCACTCCCCCTATATAAAGCGAGGTTCTCCCTAGAATTTCCTCACTTGCAAATCTTCAATTCAAAAACTGCCCGGCTGCTTTTGCTTTTTTACGAGTCCTCCGAGTCTTCTAACCGTCTCCAAGTAAGTTTCTTTCCTTCCTTTTCTGAGTCATGTCAGACCGTGAGGATAGCCAGAACCTTTCCGTTCACTCTTATGGTTCTGGCGGCCGGTCTCCGACCTTTAGTTCCTCTTCTTCTTCTTCATCCGCTGACTCCGAGCACCCGGCTACTTCTCCACAGAAGAAGCCGGTTGATGCTTCCACTTGCGCTCCTTCTTCTCTCGTGGCGCAAGTGGCCTCGGTTGCCCAGCCCGGGGACGAGGGCTTCATTCTGCTTGACAACCGGTTGGTTCAAACGCAATCGTCGATCATGCAGAAGGCCCAAGTCCACGAGGTGCGCAACCAGATGCCGGATGGGTACCAATTGACTTACCGGGCAACATGGAAGAGCATCATCCCTCTCCATGTCAGTACGTCGATTGGCATTCACTACCACTCTATCAAGGACCTGGGCGAATTCTCTATTCACCCCTTCAAAGTCCTTTTCCTCGAGTCATACGGTATCATGCCCGGGCAACTTGCCCTTAATGGTCACCGTTTGTTAGGCAGCTTCATCAATGTCTGCCGGTTTCTTCGTATTCCCCTCTCCCTTCGTCTCTTCGACCATATGTTCGATGTCCGGCCCGGGTCCAAGGAAACCCTTGGATTCGTGGTGGTGTCTTCTCACCAAGGCCGGGCATTCCTCTGCGGCCTTCCGCCTTCTAACAAGAAGTGGAAGGACAAATATGTTTGTATCAAATTCCCCCCGGCTGCTTTTCCCTTTGCCCAAAATGTCTGGGGGAAGAGAATGAAGCGCCAGGTCAAACCTGCGGAAGCCGGCGACCTGGTTGCCTGGGAAGCCACCCTCAAGGCCGGGGACGCCTCCACCCGCGGTCTTTATCACGTCGGGAAGTGGAGTGTCTACCTCGGTCGGGAGACTGACCCTGAGCCGGAGATTATCCTGCCCGGGGAAATCCCCGAAGCCATCCCCTTTCGCCAGGCGAGGGGACCTAAAGTCCTGGCCACTACCACTGTCGGTCCTTCACGCCCGGCAAAGAAGAGGAAGGAGAAAGGTCAATCAACTATTCTCCCTTATTTTCCTTCCCTATATTTTTTTTTATATCGCTGTTCTTCTAACCGGTGTCTTTCCTTGCAGTGGTGAAATTCCAGTCAAAGTTCGCCGTTCCTAAGATAGTGGTCGAGGAGCCCTCCTCCGCTCAGCCACTCACTCCTCCATCCAACCAGCCGTTCCTGCTGGACGACCAGCCGGCTCGATCTCACCAAGGAACCAGCCAGCCGATCCACTCGGGGGAGATCTACATTAATGTAGACACCTTCGAGTTTGATAACATGCTGGGAGAGACCGGCCACACTTCTCAGGCCGGGCTGACGGTTCAGCCTAATGAGGAAGGCGGAGCCGAGGAGGATGCTGGAGAGTCCCTTCAGCGGAAACGGCGGAAGACTGAAGAGGTCGACCAGCCATCTCACCAAAAGGGCCAGTCCTCTAATGCTGGCAAGGGGCCAATAGTGCCCCGGTCCAAGATTCTGATGTCCAGGTCGGACGAAGAGCTCTTCCAAGCTTTTCGTGCTGACCTGAGTGAGGTAATCCCACATCCTTTCTCCTTACCTTCCTCTTTCAGCTTCTGATACTTTTTACTGAAAAATTTCTTTGTCATTAAAGCAGGCCAGTCGGATCGGGGAGGAGTACTTCACCCGGCTGGTGAAGTCCAAAGAAGAGGAGATGGCCCGGATGGAGGCCATGATGGTCCGGTGCTGGAAGGATGCTCAGGCCGCTCGTGCCCTGGCGGAGAAGACGGAAGCGAAATGGTTGGAGCACTGTACGGTCTACCATCAGCTGTACGCCAAGCATGATGGTCTCCTCAAGGCTGCTAAAGAGGCCGATGAGCAAGCCCAAGCCAAGATCCAGCTCCTAGAGGCTGAAAATGCTCGGTCGGCTGAGGAGATCCAAAGGCTGGGGACCGAGAACGCCCGGTCTGCCGAGGAAATCGCTCGGCTGGGGGATGAGCTGGCCAAAGAGCAGTCGGAGCGAGCCGCCGTCGCCGCAGCCTGGGCTTCTCAAGCGCCTGAGGAGTTCGCCGCTAAGGCGTTACCCAACCGGGAGACGGCCATCCGCTTCTTCCAAGGCTTGTACAAATACGAGGTCTCGGCCGGCATCGTAGACGAGATTGGGACCTACGGATTTGAAAGCGGCCAGTACTCTGAACGGAAGGCCCTCTATGGCATCCTTGAGCAGAGAATCCAAGGCTTCTGGCCCAAGGCCCTTTCACTGCCCGAGCTGCATGACGAGGCGCCCGTACCTCCATTCCCGGGCATCTGATCCGTCCGGCCTTCTTTTCTCTTCTGATTCTCTCTTTTTATTATGTAATATCCTGCCTCTGGGCGCTTTTTGTACACCGTTGAAATATTAATGAAGATATTTCCTATATTCTGTGCTGAGTGCTTTTTTCCATATCTCATTAATTCTTTTCAACTTAGATTCTTTAACCGTTTAAATTAGTAAACAACAGCCCGGCCGTATTTACCCGGCTAAGAATACAATTTTACCCAAGTCTTTTCGAAAGGTTGGATAGTCGACCGGGAAGACTTTAAGTTTTATTAATTTCCTCCCGGTTGGTTAATAACCCGAGATTTAAGCATTTGCCCGGGTGCTTGTAAGGCCGACCTGTTTCCTGAATGGCTTAACGCCCTTGTGGAAAGGTAAACCTTAAGTTCTCCTTCAGAACAATCTGGCTTAAACTGGCCGGGATGCTCTCCCTTTAGTTAAGCCAAATCGTTTCTAATTCCCGTGTCAGTACGGATGAGGTGTTGGATCGGTCAGACCAGTCTTTTTTTTTTTGGCGTGTCCAATCCGATTGGAAATCTAACCGGGCAGATTGGTATGTAACCAATTACCGGTCGATGTATGAGATCAATCTTTCTGGAAAGAACAAAGTTTTATTATTGTCCGGGAACTCATTACACTTTATCTATAAAATTTACGTAAGTGGTGAGAGTTCCAATGTCGGTCGACCCGGCCACCCTCCATAGTTTCCAACTGGTAAGTGCCCGGTCTGACAATTGCTTTTATGCGATAGGGCCCTTCCCAGTTACGTACCAGCTTGCCCCTCTCATTAGGCTTACTAGCATCCCTTCTGCGCAAAACTTCATCATGCACTTGGAAATATTGCGGGCCTACCTGGTTGTCATGATACCGCTTTACTGACTGCTGGTAACCGGCCACCTTGACAGCTGCTGTGGTCCTTCGTTCTTCCACCAGGTTCAGCTCAGCGAGGTGGTCGACCTCATTCTGACCGGGCTGTACTCAAGTAGGTAAACTTTTTCCTCTTGGTACAGTTTTCTTTGAACTTTTCTTGGAACACCTCAGCCAGTTCATCGAAAGAATCGATCTCACCGGCCGGTAAGTTATGAAACCACTCAGCGGCGCGGCCGCGGAGGGTTTGAAAGAAAAGCAAACACTTCTCATCCCCGGAAAGACCCATCATCCGTCCGCTTTGATGGAGGGTTTTGACGTGAATTTCCGGGTCCTCCTTCCCGGTGAACTTTGGGACCTCAAGTTTTGCCTTCTTTGGAAATGGGGTTTCATGGACCCGGTCTGTGAACGGAGATTCGTTCAACAGAACTTTCTTCTTCTCTTCCCGGTCCACCCGGCGCTGTAGTTTCTCCAGACGTGCCTCCACCCGGCCCACACGATCCCGTGGTTCAACATGAGTACGAGTCATGTGCCTGGGGTGGCTCTCTGCTTCTTCTTCATGGGGCGCCCGGCTATGTTGGGGCTCTTCGCGATGGGGAGGTTCCGTGCGCCTGGTCTGACCAGGTCGTTCGGCCCCTCTACCCAGGCGATCAAAAGCACTCAACATGGTTGTTTCCACCCCTAGTCGTTCTTTGGCAGGTCGGTTCTGATTTCGGCCTTCATGGCCAAGCCTTTGAAACGCTGACCTCCTGGACCCTTCAGGTTGAATAGCTTTTCCCTTCAGCTTCTTTTGTGCCTGGGGTACATCCCAATCCTCATCCCTGCTATGGACTGATCGCACATCGCCATCGGGCGTGATCTGCGTGCGTGACCTTCGGGACCAACTCCTTCTGGACCGGGACGGACTAGCTTTGTCCATCTCTCCGATCAGGTTTGTTGGAGCGACCGGGCGGATGATATTAGTTTGGGGCAAGGATTGTGGGTATAACCCGGGAATGAAAGGTGAAAATCCCCCCGACTGTTGAAACATGGACATGAACTGCCCAAAATTTTGGAATGCCTGTGAAAACAGCGGGTCCACGGGCCCGGGAAAATTTGGAGAAAAAATAGGGATAGAGGTGACGGGGGAAGCGAATGGAGTAGGTGTTGGAATGGTGATGATGGGGGTAGGAATCTGGTTTGAGGGTTGCGCACTCCCTCCCGGGAATGAGGCGACGTTCTCAACGGGAACAAAGATTTGTGAGATGACGGTTTCCTGATTGCTTGTCATGACTTTTCGTAATAGGTCCCACGGATGGCGCCAATTTGATGGTGTAAATTACCACGCAAATACTAAGTAAAAGTAATCGGAAGGGCTGTAGGTGGAAACACCTGTAACCCGGCTTGTTATTAATTAAAACGGGAACTTATTACAATCAGTACAGACCGTGTGGATTAATTAAAGCATACCTCACAAATGAGGGTTTTAGGGGTATTTATAACAAAACTAAGCACGTCAAGTGCGTCTCTAGTTATTCAACCGGTCATTCGTCTGACCGGCTGCATAAGAGTACTACCCAACCGGCTTCACGACCCGGTTTGAGAAGGATGCGCTCTGTCACTTCCGTCACCACCCAGTCGGACGAACCAACCGGGTGGTATCCATGGGTTATTACCCATCACCAACCTTATTCTTTAGCAAGCTTGCTATAATATAACACAACTATTGGAGATGAAAAAAATGATTGGCTGGCTATATAATAGCTTTTAGCAAGCCAAAATGGAATGATTGGAGATGCTCTAAACGGGCCACTTTTGGCTTATCAAAAGAATTGAATTTGAGTCTGGTTCGCCCGTTCGGTCATCCGACCAATTTTTACTCCCTACTAAACTAACCATGGTGAAAATTTTACCCGAGCAGGAGTAATTTCTAAGAGCGGACGGCAGCACCAAACACGCAGAGAGAAGAGAGATATCAGTAGATTCTCTCTCTTCCGACAGCCAAGTGATCTGTAATGGATTTGAGTATCGCTGGCAAATGAACAAAAAGAGAAAAAACACCAGCAACCAAACCCAAAATTATACGAACCATAAACACCAAAAAAAATAGAACGAAAGAAGGGGGAAAAACCCAATCTTTTTCTTCTTCTTAGAGATATTTAGGCCGCATCTAGAATCTAGCCTAGTCCCAGAAGAGAAAGAGTGAGAGTAAGCTCCAAGAATCTCAAAGAACAAGAATTCATTCACTCATACATAATTGAAAGTACACGTTTCTAATTTTCCTTAGGGCTTTGGGAATTCTCCCTTTTCTCTGCTCTCAGATCCATGGTCGATTCTTGACTGGGTTCTTCGTATACGCCACGTATTTCTTTCTTTCATGGTTCTTGGTAAGCCTTTTGTACTTTTTGTTATGCGTATCTGTGTGAATATGTGTATTTGTCGGTGTTTAAAAGCTTTTCTGTGTGTATTTCTGTTTGCTTATCTGCGTGCATTGCAAATGGGCTTCTGGGTTTGTAGTTCATGACAGAGGGTGTGAGAAAGGTTGAATCTTTTTTCTCTGTTTCCTTCGAAGATCTGGTTCACTGGAGAAGTTATGTTATGTTTCCTTTTTTTTAAACTTTGTTTTTATATGATCTCGAGGAATTGGTTTTTGTTTTCCTGCAATTTTTCTTCTTCTGATTCTTTATAGCGATTGTATATGGTGTTTTGAACTCATTGGTTATGATTTATCACTGCACTCCTATTCGGTTATTCTTAGTGCTTTTGCTGATGTGTGAACACTTGACCTTTACGAATTTAAAAGAAATTGGTAATAAAAAAGATGCTATTGTAGAATTAGAATATAATGCCATACCATTTCAAGAAACAGGCAGCATACCTACTAGGCCGTAAAATTGTAAAAGTATGAGACCGCCTTATATGTCTTATTCCATAAGGCAAGCCTGGATCATGGTTAGTGCAAACCATATCAATCTAGTGCCATATATCACTCTTTTGGTAAACTGTATCACCTTTAGGGCTATATGTGTCTTTTACTAATAGTTTTAGTGCACAAGCTATCACTTTTAGATCAGTGATCACTGACTAAGTATTGGTGGAAACTTCTTCAATAGTTTACAATGTGTTAAGGGGCATTTTCTGATTTTTTTCCTAGTCAGGGTTGCAGTCTAGTGGTTGCAACTTGCAAAGTTTGATGGATACAGACAACGACACACCTCTGTCTCTGAATGTTGAGGCATGTGAAAATGGACTTCTGCAACAACTTCAGCCTGCCGGGGAAGAACTTGCCGCTCATAAGTCCGAAGGGGTACCGAATGGCAGTCCTATGATTGAAGAAGTGCAACAGAAATTTCCAAGTTCTGTCATTTTGAAGGAAGATGAAGCTGTTGAAACATCCGTTGAAGAGGTTGGGGACAAATCAATAGTGCCTCCTTATAGCAATGGCAGTGTTAGTTCTAAGGTAGGACGACATCTAGTTCAATGACTAATCTTGTTTTTTTTAAATAAGAATCATTCATGTCATAGGCGTTTATTTATAGTACTGTTTGGAAATTAGAAAATGATAGCGAAAGAAGAACTATGGGGGAATTTAGAAGGATAGAAAATGTGTGGGTGTAGGAGTGGGTGGGGGGACGAAACACTTGTTCACAGTCAATAGTTTATCTTTTCTGTTTGTTGTGCTCGTTTTATTTACATAGTATCAATTTTTTTAATACTCCGTATGTAAAGACTTAAGCAATCTGAACATCTGTGAAAAAAGATTTAAGAACATTTATCATATTTGATTTTCGTTTGCATTTTTTGAGACCAAACAGAGCACAACATAATGACTTCCGTATCATTTTTTCCTTTTGCTGACGTGCTCTATGATCTAAACATATCCCGTAGGAATCAAAAGTTAAGAATTCTGCAGATCACCAGAGTGACAAACCACAGAAAGCTTCCGGAAAGCTCAAAAATGGGAAACCTTCAAGCAGTGGAAATTCAGTGATTTCTGGGGCAAAGAAGGACAAAGACGGAAAGCCAAAAGGAACCATGCCCTCCAAATCACTGCCGAAAGAACCTACTGCCCTTGGTGCAAAGGGTAGTTCAGTTAATGAGAGGAAAGCTTCTGAGAGAAATACAAAGCTTGTTCCTTCTCTAAAGTCTAATCATTCTAAGGTAAATCCAATCTTGGTCAGAGTGTTCTTTTTTTCCTTTTACTTCATTTTTTTCTCCCCACTGTTGAGTAGATGCGAAGTACTTCAATCAATCATATAAATATAAAACTATCTGCCGGCTAATTTTTTATAAATTTCTTGATCTTTAGCAGCAGACTGATAAAGTATCTTCCCCGAGTGGTCCACAGTCCGAAAGCCTAAAGTATGTTCTATTGCTCTAGTTCCATCTTGGATGTATATCTACTAATTTTGACTTAGATTCCTTTTAGGATCACTTTTGGTATAAGGGTCTGTTTGGGAAAAGGATAAATGACTTGTGGAGGTCATTTTCCCATTTTCCGGCGTTTGGCTATTCTTAAAAATAAGAGTAAACAAACAATGATTTTCGAAGTCAACAGAAAATGAGCCCTATTTAGTGGAAAATGATTTCCGTTTTTTTTTTTGGCGGAAGATATTTTCCACCCTTCTCATACTTCTTGGATCCAAGCTCACCATGTTTCATTATTTTATAACATCAAAAACTAGTTTTTTTCATTTTTTAAACTTTCAACCAAACACCAGAAAATGAATTTTATTTTGCAGAAGCCAATTTCCATCTTTCCAAACAGACCCGAAATCATTTTAAGCACTTAAACTGCTTTCTTAAAAACTATCTGCTGCTTTCGTGAATAATCATTATTCATTAAAGTTGATTTTTTTTTCAAACTGCTAAAAGCACTTTTTCTATAGCTTGCCAAACTTTTGTTTTTGAACTAAAAATACTACTTTTCATCCTCTAAAGGGCACTTATTCATTGAAAATAAGTCATCCCAAGTGCTTTTTTAATGCAGTTACTATTGTTAATAACGTCTTCTCCTAGGCTCCTAGCAGTTTGTGAACTGTAGTTTCATGACTTCAGGGAAAAAACTAAAGTGAAGCTTCCACTGAAGAAAGACACTCCAAATAAAGTTGAATCAACGGCCAAATCCATTGCGTATCCTATCTGAATCAATATTCTACCTACTCTTAGGGCATGTTTGGATCTCCGATATTGCTATGGAAAGGAAATAAACTGTTAAGAATAGAAATTTACTTGTGTTCAGGTTTGTCTTGGAAAATAGAAAAGAAAATGAAATAGGACTAATTTTTCACTTCATTTAAAAAAAATAAATCGTGTTTTGGTTAGCATTGGTTATCCTTAATCAAAATTAAGAAGTCCTACATCGGAAGATGCCAAGTCGCGCAGAGCTAATGCACTTCCAAGCTATGGTTTCAGTTTCAAGTGTAATGAAAGGGCTGAAAAAAGGAAAGAGGTTAGTTTTCACCTTTTATGGAATAAAGTTCTATACTTGCAGAGCTTGAGCTAAAATTTTTGCATGTTCTTTGTCAACAGTTTTACTCAAAACTCGAGGAAAAGATCCATGCAAAGGAAATGGAGCAGAATAATATACAAGCAAAAACTAAGGTGTTTTATGCAAAACAACTTTGTCACATTTACTTTACAAGAAATTACATGTAAAAAATTATACTCCGTCCATGGTCTCCGTCCCAAAAGGCTTTACCTAGTTTGACTTTCATAGAGTTAAAGAAAAGTGTCAAAAAGTGAAAAGTGTACGGTTAGAATTTTTTTATATGAGATAAAGATCTTGTGAGCCATATATTCATTACTAAAAAAAGAAAATAAAGTACTTAGAAAGTGTTTTTTAGGATGTCCAAAATGGGAAAGGGGGTAAAGTTTTTTAGGACCAAGGAATACGTAGCAAATCTACTGACTGTCAAAAATGTTACATAGAATATGAAAAGTGTGATGAGGCAGATCAACTTAACATAGATTGAAGTTGATGACAAAAAAGATAAATTCATGATATTCCCATTTCATTCTTCAAACAGGAATCACAAGAAGCTGAGATCAAAATGTTTAGAAAGTCCTTAACATTCAAAGCAACTCCAATGCCGACCTTCTATCAGGAACCTCCACCTCCAAAGGTGGAGCTGAAAAAGGTAACATTTTTCTCTTCCATGTGTGGTTAAAGCTCATATTGTTATTGTCAATTGCTCCCTCCGTTCCAAAAATGATTTCCCACTTTGACTTTACAGATACTAAGAAACGTGTTGAAAAGATCTTGAATAGTAAAAAGGGAGTGGTTAGAATTTGTTTAGAAGAGTGAAGTTTTTGGGCAACATATTCTTTTCTAAAAAGGGAAAGAGAAAAAGTGGGAAAATCATTTTAGGACGGATGAAAAAGAAATGTGAGAAATCCTTTTTGGGACGGAGATAGTAATTATCTAGATTCATGCAAAGAAGTAAAGTGACAGCGTTTACGAAAAATGTATAAAACCTTATACTTCCTCTGCCTCTAAAAGAAGTTCTTGTTTTTTCACGGAGTTCAAGAAAAAGTGAAATTATATGTTGGAAGTTAATGCAGAGGAGAGAAGTAATGTGAACCACTTTTTTTGTTCCCATGTGGAATGGGAACTTTTTTTGGGACAGTTGTAACAGGAAAGCATAAAGTTTTTTTTTAGGGACGGAGGGAAAATATGAAATCTAATATGCATATCATGAAACATGACCATGCAGTTATTCTATGAACTTATTATCAGAATCCTATATGAGTGCCTTAATGAGTTCCCCCTCCTGATCCAGATTCCTCCAACGAGAGCAAAATCTCCCAAGCTTGGCAGGAAGAAGGTGTCTTCTAATAGGTTGAGCTTAGACCAAAAAGTGTCCTTCGAGGATACCCCTCCTTCGAAGGACCTCTCCCTTGCCAGTGCTAATAAAAGGACTCAACGGAAGTCCCTTCCCAAGTTGCCATCTCAGAGTACCAATTTATCGTCCCGCGAAACCAAGAAACCTTCCCATTCTAAAGCTGTCTCTTCTAAGGAGACTGAAAATGTTCCTTCTCTTCCAGACAACTCTATTGCAGAAGACTCTGCAGCATCTAATACAAAAGAGGAGGAGACAGTTGTTGAGCCAGAGGTGAATGATGAGCCAAGTTTTGATGAAGGGCAGGAATCTATTGCCGTGGACCATTAAAACCAAGAACGGAGGGGCGCATTTGGAAATTACTCTTTGGGAATGAACTGGTGAAGCTACATTGCAAAATACTACAAATAAGGTATGGGGGTGTTTTGGTCATAGAAGAAGATTTGGTTGTCTCTAAGGTGGATTTTCTTTTGTCATAGTATTGGCACTTGAAGAAATTTGTGTGCAGATTGCAAACTTGTAAGGTCACTTCTCATTATTGTTATTATTATTATTTTTTTTTTGGCAATTTATGGGTCTTAGTTTTTATGGTTAAGATTGTATTCCTAGAGTAAAAGATTTTTTTTTTTTTGGAATTTTGCCCTTGAAATATTTTCAAGATCCAAGTGTTTGTGATTTTTTAAATGTTCATCAAACATTTTAAGTTTGTATCTTTGTATCTATATTTGCTTACCTGATGTCTTTTATGTGTACTTTTGTGGGATTTTTTAACTAGACCCATAATTATTTTCATAGTTATTTTAAAAAATTGGGTTTCATGATTTTCTTCCGCATTCTTTTTAAAAATAATAATATAATATCTCAATGTTGTTATAGAATTGGTCAAAAACTGTTGAAGTTATGTCCTACGAGACTTTAAAGAATAAATGTTACGGAGTGTTTTTTTAAAAGAATTTCACTCTAATTGTTGGATCCTACATCCGTCTCAAATTAAATTGTGTGTTTCTATTAATGACGTTTGATTGAAGTTATTCTCAATTCAATTTATTTAAGATTAGAGTTGAATTATAAAATAAAATTTACATAGTTAAAAACTAATCAAAAGTTATATGAAACAAAAGGTGATACGATTATTATTTAATTAAATGACTAACGAAAATAAATAAAGAACATATTAAAAATTGACCTTGCGAAGAATAAACAAGTACGTTTAGTTTGGGACGGAGCAAATATTAATTTGAGGTTATGCCCTACGCTAACATCGAGTAACAAATATTGTTTTCAAATGAAGTCGTAATGAGGTTTCTTTTTGTGATAAAACTAACCCCTAACTAATACGAAATTAGTAATCATAATAATTAAATTGTTGTATTTAGTGCAGTGAAAAATTGGACAAAAACATAATCTGACTTGTCTCACTGTTTCTTAAAAATCGAACCCCCACACTGTTATAACAACACTTTGGGTCTTTTACCATATGAGCTCTGCCCGGGGAATCAAACAAAAAACAAATTTATAAGACTAAGATTAGTACTCAGTTTCAAAGTAAATGTTTTTTTAAGATAAGATTTTTGGATGTTACATTATTTTAAGATAAGATTTTTGGATGTTAACTTTCACATAGGAATTTAAAACACATTCCAATCTTTGTTTCAAGCTTGACTGAAATTTTACTGGATTGTTGTTGAGTTCTGTATTGTCCTATTCCTAGAAAGATTTGTCTAATTGAATCCAAATAACCTTTGAAACATAGCTTCAAAATGTCATTTTTAAAATTTTCTTTTTCAAGTGCAAAAAATAGTTACAAGCAATCACAATGTTGTATTGGAGATCGTGGTACCCAAACCGCTTAGCCCTTCTGGGAAAACCCAAAAGCACAAAACGCGCAATGTGACCTCAAGGTCACATACAAAACATCTCAACCGGTGCGACGAGTGCCAATAAACACACAAAAACGAAACAAAACGAAACACACCGATATACAAACACACAACCAAAGCCAACCCTTTTACATTTTTTTTTGTTTTTGACTCCAAAGAGTGTGACACACACAGAACAAATAAATAATAAAGTACAAGTACAACTTCCATTATTGATATCATTACATCACAAACAAGAGGATATGGTTGGTTGCATTTGAGCAATTCATCTAAACAATCGACGCTTGCAAAACTCGGCATTGGGAAAAAACGAAACGATACGAGAAAAAAAAACAACCAAAAAAGGCTGTCGTTGCACGACCCAATGCCCACGGGAAGCAAAAGCGTCAAACCTAAGAACTGCCAAAACCAACCAACCAACTAACCAAACACACCAAACCAAGCACCCAAAGAACACAACACAAATACAAGTACAAGGAGGAAACCAAACACACCTTTAACCAAAGCTCATCAGCCTAAAGCATCAAGCTAAAAACTTCTTTTTTTTCTTCTTTTTTTTCGAACGTAAAGTTAATACCTGACGAAGAACATCAAGAAACTACAGATCAAGAACCTCAGGATTTGTGTGATGATCACAGCAAAGTATGGCCGTGAATGAAGAAAGAATCTCTCTGGGGAGAGACAAAAAAGCTTCTGAAACAGCTCCTGGAAGCTGCAAAAAAAACCGGCCATGGCTTTCTGGGAAAAAGAAGAACCGAGATCTCGGACCCACAAAAAAAGAACGAAAAACAGACTTGACAAACCCCTCTCCTGGTTTTCAGGAGAGGATATCACACTTCCAAAGCTTTTCGGCGAGCAGACCGGCCCCACGCTGGCTGATTCCGGCGCAGCCCTGTATGCTCAGCCCTGCGAGGCCGGACCCCACCTCAGCCAAGTGAGGCAAGCACTTGTCGGACAGCAGGGTGCATCCGGAGAGTGAAAGGATCCGCAGACCAGTCCGGACCGGACCGGCAGCCAGAGCTGCAATCCCCAAATCGCCCGCCCCGGTTTTGGACACGTCGAGTTCGTGCAGAACCGAGCAGTGTTCCGAAATCGCGTACAAGCTCCCGTCCGTCACCCTCCCGCACCCCTCGAGATTCAGCAGCTCGAGAGTCTCCCCGTGTAGTTTCACTAGGGGCAAAACGGTCTTTTCGGTCACATTTACGCATCCGCTCAGGTTCACCTTGACCAGACCAGCATCACAGTTTTGAACAATCTGGAGAAGCCCGTGGTCTGTAACACCGTGGAGCCCAGTGATGCTGACGTGGACAAGGTTAGGGCAGATCCTGCTCAGAATTGACAAAGTGGCATCGTTGAACCCGGTGCAGTTGGAAATGGACAATGATCTGAGAGACTTGCAAGGGGACAACGAAACCGGATTCCAGAATCCCAAATCCTTGATTCCAAAACAGTTGGAGAACGAGAGAGCCTTCAGTTTACCACAAGAGAGTAAGAGAATGCCGAAAAACCCGGCTTGGGTGATCCTGTGGCACTCATCCAACACCATGCTCTCGAGTGGCGTGGCAGCTTTGACGAAAGAAACCACTCCGTTGTCGGACAGGGAAGGGCATTTTCGGAAACAAATTTGTTTCAGGTTAGGGCAGCCTTTCCCCAACGCCTCGACACCCGGATCCGTAACGCCCAGGCAAGATGCCACCGCGAGTGACCTCAGCTTCTGCAAGCCCTGACCATTACCCATCACCCAGAAACCCCTCTCGTTTACGCTCTGAAGGCCAACCAGCGTTAAATCAGTCAAAGCGACACCGTAATGCCCGATAACGGCTAGGGAGAGGTCCGTGACATTCAAAGACTGCAGCTTTACCTTCGCAAGATGGGTACCCGCCGATGCGAAAAGACTCGCAAGCCCCTGGTCTCCAACAAGCGGGCAGTTCTTGACCGTGACGGTCGTCAGGTTCGGGCAGTGCTGACCGAGAGCTTGCAGGCTTTCGTTTCCGATGTTCAAACAAGACTCCATGCTCACAGATACCAGATTGGGGCATCTTTTCGCGATCAATGTCAATGACTTGTCAGTGACTCCAGGGCATTGGGAAATATCAAGCTTCTCAATCTGACAGCATCCGGTGGCTATCTCAGATAACCCTTCGTCAGTTATGGCCGGAATGTTCCAGAGAGAGAGAGACTTCAGGGAAGGACAACACCTGCCAATAGCCTTGAGACCAGAATCCGTCACGAGAGAATGTTTGCTTCCTCTAATGGATAACTTTCCCAATCCTCCACGGCTGACGGTCCCCACAGCCACAGAAGCAAGTCTGAGATCTGTAGCTTTCTTCCCCTCAAGACACCGCGAGAGAAACCCGCCGTCCTTTTCATCTTCAACTTCCGCCTCAGCTTCACATGGGAGGGCGAATTCGTCTTTCTTGCTGCCAGACATAGCAGGTACGGATTTCGTAACGGACGGATTTACCCTTTTCTTTGGCTCCGTTGGCTCGTTGGGTTTTTCAGTTGCTGCGGCTATCTCATCCCTGTGGACGGTACTTAGAAGCATGAGCCAACGTTTGGACACACCGGCGCAGGCACTTCTCTCCTGCCCGCCGGGCAGGCGTCTGAGAATCTCGAAGAGGCATTCGTCCGGAAGGACGTCAATGGAAACTTGCGGCTTCTTCTGCCGAAAGATTTCTCCTGGGAATACAAAAGGCACTGCACTGATGCGTGACCGCTTGCGTGAGGGGAAATACACATCGGTTTGGCGACCGAGGGACAAGAGGAGCATGGAATCCTTAGGCCCTCCATGGCAAAAATCATCAACACCTGAATACATTGTTATTTCAAGATCCATAAGCAAAACAGACAAACAAATAATACTCTGTAATAATAAATCTCCAGTAAGAAAGACTACAAATCTGCACTACTTAGCAAACAGATCACAAACTTCTATCCGTAAGGAACTGTTTGGAAAGGGTTTCACGGATTGCCGACGTTTTTTTTTTCAGAAAGGGCATTTTCATGTTTAGTTACACTTATTTTTCAGCCAAACAAGTAAAGGACTACTTATTCTACATATGTGCAGATTGGGCAGAATATGGATGCCAAACAGGCCTGAGTCTTTCAGCAGGTCAGATTCTGCTATAGAAAACCATATCCATCCTATCGTGAAAATCGGACGGTTCTGATCCGACTTCTCTGGCTGAACAGATCAGCATATATATATATATATATATATATATATATATATATATATATATATATATATATATATATATATATATATATATATATATATATAT